CTGCCCCACGGGTGCTCCCCAGGGGTCCTGGTTGACGTGGTTGTGTCCCAGGGATCTGCAGGGATCCTTCCTCCAGGCAGGGAGTTTCTCAGTAGTTTTTATTCCACGCTGCGGTGAGTTCAGTGCAAGGAGGGGGCTCCTGGGGGGGTCTGAGGGAGTGCTGGTGGTGGCTGCACACGGCAGCTGGCATCACTTCAAATTCAAGAAGTCTCTGCAACAAGATGCAATAAACTTTACACTGTAGCACTGAGCTGCCCGTGCTGCTGAGAGCCTGCTTCCTGAGCCCTGGGTGTGGGAACCCCTCTGCTGGGAGCCCAGCAGGAGAAAGCTGGCCTGGGGCAGCCTGAGAGGAGAAGGCTCCAGCTGGGGAGACCTGCTGGGGGCTGCCAGGGCTTCAAGGGGCCTGTCAGAAATCTGGGGACAGACTTTTTAGCAGGGTATGTTGTGACAGGAGAAGGGGTGATGGGTTTAAACTAAAGAGGGAAATTTAGACTAGAGAGAAGGAAGAAATTTTTGACAGTTTTTACAGTTCCCCATCCCTGGAACCATTCCAGGTGAGGTTGGCCGGGGCTCTGAGCAACCTGCTCTAGCTGCAGATGTCCCTGCTCAGGGCAGGGGGTTGGACTGGATGCTCTTGAAATCCCAACCCATTCTATAATCCCTGGCTGTTGGTCTGAGCTGGGCTTAGAGCAAAGAGGAGCTGGGAGCTGTCCTGGAGCTGTCCTGGAGCCACCTCCCCATGACACCTGGGTCAAGATCAGGCTCAGTGACTGGAGGTATAAAAGTGATGCCAGCCAAGTGCTGCAGGGAAGGGAAGGAGCTGGGGAAGATGCACCCAGGGGAGACAAGGCCAAGGCTGACTCTGTGCCCCCCATCTCTGCAGAGCAGAGCTTACTTCACCAAGGTGGGCAGTTCCGGGTTGAAGGAGATGTAGTCGTGGCCCAGGCCCAGATTTTTGGGAAAGGTGATGAACTTCACCTTGCTTTTGTCCTTGTAGGCGCTGCGTGCTGTCTCAAAGAGCTGCCAGAGGGGGGGAAGCGTGGTTAGTGGCACGTGCAGGGCACCCCAAACCCCATTTTGGGGCCAGACACCCCCTCTCCTTCCCCTCCCACCCCCCAAAACCAGGCTAAACCAGCAGCCACCCCCATCCAAGCCCATGCAGGGGCGATGGTGGGACCCACCTTGCGGCCCAGATGCAGAGGCACCACCTCATCATCTTCTGTGTGCAGTATGAGGAGGGGGCAGCTCAGCACCTTCACACTGCAGGCAGCAAGTACAACACCCAGGAGTCACCCCAGGGCTGACAGAGCCTCCTGGGGTGCTGCTCAAACCCCCAGAGCAATCCTGACCCCACCCCAGATGTCCCATCAGAGCCAGCACATCCCATAGGTGGCTAAGGGCAACTCAGCTGCCCTGGGGTGGTGCCCACGGTGCTTGCCCCAGCACCCTCATGATTTAAACCCCCACTAGAGGTTCAAAAACACCCATGAAATAAATGGGGTTCAGCAAAGGCACCCACAAACATGGAGCAGGACAGACCCTGTTGCCCACAGGATGCTGTGGTGTGGGTTGGACTCCAGCAGATAATGCTTGGAAGGAAAAAAGGATGTTGGCCCACAGACTTTGCTCATTAGTAATATTGCTATCTCAAGATAGGCAAATTAAAAGGCACTTCTAAAGCATGAGTAAGATGGGCAAACACAAATGAGAGTGCAGGAAGCACAGGATGTGACACGCCATGGGACAAAAGGAAATGGCCTCGAGTTGCACCAGGGGAGGTTTAGGTTGGACCTGAGGAACAATTTCTTCCCCAAAACTGTTGTTCAGGCTGCCCAGGGCAGTGGTGGAGTCCCCACCCCTGGAGGGGTTTCCAAGCCGTGGAGATGTGGTGTGAGGGACACGGGGCAGTGGGGACCTGGCAGGGCTGGGGGATGGTTGGACTCGATCTTAAAGGTTTATTCCACCCAAAATGTTTCTATGATTCTATAATTCTGTGATTCTACGTCCACTCCCCCCTCCCCATGCAGGTGGCCCCAGCATCCTCCCTGCAGCCCCCCGGGGCCGGCCGTGCCCCTTGCCCCCAGGCACAGGCACTCACTTCTCGTCGCTGGGGAAGAACATGTTGCCCAGGGCTAGTGAGTCCAGGATGAGGTACCCGAAACCTGGGAACTGCCGGTAGATCTGCCAGGGAGGGGAGTGGGGGGCTGCTAAGGCATGGCTTTGATCCCTGCCCAGGGGGGAGCCCTGGGCTAGGTGGGGCTGCCCCCAATGTGGGGACACACAGGCATGACCCCTACCTGTCAGCAGCAGGGGACCCCCTGGGCAGAGCCCCCCAACCATCACCCTTTGGAGACCCCACAAGCAGAGCCCCCCACCCACCACTGCTGGGGACACCAGGGGCAGAGCCCCGGGCTCACCTTGGTGACGGGGATGTGGGCGGCAGCCTCACGGATGTTGGTGTAGGGTGACTCCAGCACCACGGCATCAACCTGCACCCCTGAGGGCAGAGTGGGGCAAGAAGGGCTGGGGGGGGCCCGACCCCCCCTGAGCTGCTGCCACGC